GATTCCTCAGATTTGGGGTTTGCTAGCTTTCTGTCAAATTTTTCTTTTTTGTGTCCCGAAGAAAACTCAAATTTGATTGTTTTTGATTGAAAGTTAGGGTTTTTTGAGCTTAGATTTAGGCTTTGAATTGGTTTGATGCTTATTCGGTGTTGATCTTATGTGCTCTTTTTGTAGTTTGGAAGATGCCTCGGTACGATGATCGTTACGGGAACACTCGTCTTTACGTTGGACACTTATCATCCAGAACTCGAACCAGAGACCTTGAACGCCTTTTCAACAGATACGGAAGGTAACTGAGTCTTCTTCTTTATCTCTTATCTATGAAAAATTAAATACTTTGGTTTTTATGTGTTGTTGAGGATGATTAATGGTCTGAATGTGCTGTTTTTCTTTTTCCGTATCTTCGTGAATTTATGAGGAGTTTTTTTTGTTATTTGTGCGTACAGACAATTAACTCTTTAAATATCGAGGGGCATAGTTCTAGTAATATTTATTTTTTTGAGGAAAAATATCTATCTAGGTATAGAAGTATAGCGTATGTTCTTAACATTAAATTTATTAGTTTCTGAGAAGTATGGAGGGGCATATTTCTAGTTCTAGTAATATTCTGTTATTTATTATATTTGTATCTTTAGAGAGGAAAAAGTATGGATATAGGTATAGTGTGTATGCGTTTAACTTGGATGATCTTATTGAAGGTCTCTGGGATTTTGCCTAAACCTGGAGGTATTTGATGAATGGTGTTTGATGATTGGTGTTTGATGAATGGGTGGGTCTTGGCGGAAATTCTCGCCAGGTGTTTAGAGGGGCGCCTCAGACCATTCTGTTTGTAGTATTTTTTTTTTAAGTGTTTGATGGAAAATGGAGACTCAAGTCTCGAAATGGTGTTTTGCAATATACCCTAAAGTAATGATGGCCTTTTACCTCTTATGCCAACAATTTCTTACACAGAGTGCGAGATGTGGATATGAAGCGGGACTATGCTTTTGTTGTAAGTAAAATGTCTTTTTATTTCCGTAAAACTTCTGTTATTGTTGTTGTTGTGAGCTATGCATGATGTGGGCATAATACACGCTATGCTTGTTGCTTTTGTTCCCTCATTTTTTTTAAAAAAACAGGAGTTTAGTGATCCTCGTGATGCTGATGATGCAAGACATTACTTGGATGGACGAGACTTTGATGGAAGTCGCATCACTGTGGAGTTTTCAAGAGGGGTGAGTACATGTAGTTTTGGATCTCTTTTCAAGGCTCTTATCGTGTGTGTTTGTCAAATTCATGGATGTATCATGTTTGTATGATAGGCACCTCGTGGCTCTCGGGATTATGACAGCAGAGGCCCACCTCCTGGATCTGGTCGCTGCTTTAACTGTGGTGTGGACGGTCATTGGGCTCGAGACTGCACCGCAGGGGACTGGAAGAACAAGTGTTACCGCTGTGGGGAAAGAGGACACATTGAGAGAAATTGCAAGAACAGTCCCAAGAAGCTTAGGTATTCAGTAAAATTGAATCTCTTGTGTGAATAGTGTAGACCCTTCCAGTTTCATAAAACCTTTTTTCTTGGTTGTATGTTATAGGAGGAGTGGAAGCTACTCCAGGTCACCAGTAAGATCACGTTCTCCTCGTCGTAGAAGAAGCCCAAGCCGTAGCAGGAGTCTTAGCCGAAGCCGAAGCTACAGGTTAATTTTCTTCCTCGTTGTCTCTGGTTTAAAACCGTTTTAGCAATTGAGGTTGACTTGTTTATATTTCTTTTATGGCCAGCCGATCAAGATCCCCTGTGAAAAGAAGGGAGAGGAGTGTAGAAGATAGATCTCGCAGTCCAAAGAGAATGGAGGACTCTCTATCTCCAAGAGGCAGAGACCGTAGTCCTATTATGGATGATGAAGGTAGCCCGAGGATCATAGACGGGAGCCCTCCGCCATCTCCAAAGCTTGAAAAGCAAGACCATGATGGTGGTAGCCCTCAAGACAATGGGAATGGCAGTCCTGTTGTGGGACGCGACAGCCCGAGGGAGGACAGAAGCCCCGTTGATGATGATTACGAGGCCAACCGTGCTTCCCCTAGAGGAAGCGAGTCTCCTTAACTTTGATGGCTCATGGCCTCAGGTCACAGGTGCTCGCATGTTGTACTATTTAATCAGACTGTCCCAGATATTTACTTTATGTATGCTTGCTTTGGATCTTCTTGTTGTCAGGATTTTTTTTTTTATACATTTGAGATGATGGTTAAACTTGTATGACATTTAATGGTTGGATTTTCATTCAGACAATTTTTGTTGAAAGTAGGGATTTTCTTCTGTCGTTTCTTCATGTTTGAATACTCCACTGATCAGGAAAGTAGTAAGTAAATTCCATCTTCAGCTTTAAGCATCACCTCCTATACATGTACTTGTCCTGAAGTTTGTTGAGTTCAAAGCTTACCTGGTTGGTTTTAAGGCCGCATTAAAAGTCTTTTAGAGAGAAAAATTCGAGTAATAATATTAAGATAGAAGAATTTCTCGAAAGTTTGAAAAGTTCATGCCAAAGCGATTGTTACCGTGTAATGAACTTTATTTTTGTTGGTGGGGGCGATTTTCTATATATTTATTTACAGATTTTGTTTCCATGAAATGTGCTTTCCCTTTTTGTTTCTTACTGTTGTTGTGATTGAACATAACGTTGAATAGCTGGTAAAATGAAGCAAAACAATAACTTGAGAGTTATTAAATGATCTTGATTGAAGTAGTGAGGTTTACTAATGAGGACAAAAATATGTATAAGTTTCAGATCTCTGGAGGGTCACAAGATTCACCCCCCTCTTCTTGATTAATTCATGACGGTACCGTCCGAAACTTATACTCTTGTTTCTGATACGTCAATAATAGTGAAAGGCCGCGTGACACAAGAACCATAAGAAATAAATAAGTACACATATAAATGCTACCACAAAACTTTCACTTAAAGAGGGAAGAAGTTATTTCCGGAGTGTTGTTAAATTTTTGACAAAGAGATATGTGACACTTGGTAAAGCTACAAACGTATAACAGTTATGTGTTTTTCCTTTGGAATTAACGTCAAAGAACAATATGAATTTATATCACAGCAATACCAATCAGTGTGATTCCTCTTGTTCACATGATATTTGTCGTCTCATATAATGTTTTAAAAAAAACGTTACAGTGAAAAGATAATTTATAGTTTTCTTGAAAAGGTTCTTGAAGTGTGAGAGGTTTTACAAACTCACGGGAGAATTGCAGATTCTGTCTCTGCCAAATTATCAAAGGTAACAAAAGTCCAAGCCTGCACTGTCGTTTTGCTTACAAACAAGCTTATTTACTGTCCCTAAACCACAGAAACTGTTTTTCTTTCAAATAAAACTTCAAACAGTTTGGGGGGTTTTAGGTTTATTTCCCTTTCTCTCTCTCAAGTCCAGTGGGTTTGGATCTGGAAGATTGTTTTAGTAAGTTGGTTTCTAAGATAGGATGTTGATAATGTTCTTTCTTGAATGAAACAATAAATGTAGATCATGATGACATGATCTATACACATTGGTCTTATTATTGTTAGTTTACCTTGTTTTGCAGTTAGTTGTGAAGTTGAGATTTTACCAATCTGGTTCTGGTTGTTGAATATATAAAAAAAACAGTATGACAACTGATACCTTCAATTACAACACAAGATGCAGGTGGGGTTCTCTCTATATATAAATGTATTTTTTATTACGTAGTATTGTAAGATTTTACCATTAAAGAAAATCTATATAGAGGTCTGTTGAGGACAAACTCTTCAAGTAAAAAGATGGAGGAAGAAGAGAAGGAAGGTCTAAGAACTGTGGAATGTCTAAGAGGGAGACTACTTGCAGAGAGGCAAGTTTCAAGGTCTGCAAATGAAGAAGCAGACCTCATTACCAAAAAGGTAATTTCATATTATTATAAGTGTCATTCTACTTTTAAGAAAATCTTCTTTTTCCAAGATCTAGGTCTGTTCAAGAACCAATAAATAGTCATTCTTGTTGCTTCAGTACCAAGAGAAAGAGAGAGAGAGAGAGAGAGAGAGAGAGAGAGAGAGAGAGAGAGAGAGAGAGAGAGAGAGAGAGAGGGAGAGAGAGTAACTTGCTCTGTAATATTTTCTTCTTGAGTGTGATATTGGACCCAGAAAGACTGTTTTAAAAGTTTGTAGTTTCATCTGAGTTTGGTAAGAAGCTGACAACCTTTAATTTCCTGAAAACAGTTGGAAGAGCTGGAGAAACATCTGAAAGAAGAGATCAGATTAAGGGAAAAAGCAGAGAAAAGACTAAAGTATCTGATGAAAAAGCTTGAATCCATAAAAGGGTCAGGCAGTTCTGAGGGATCAGAGCAGTTGAGTTCATCTGAAGTGTCATGTTTGTCATCTGTTTCCACTTCAGCATCCAAGGAAGAAAAAGAAGAAGAAAAAGAAACTCAAGAAAATGGATTTGTGGAGGAAGATAAAATTGATCAAACCACTGAAAATGTTGCCTCCATGGAAAAAAAGATCAACGATGTTTCTTCTGGTGAAGAAAGTGTTGTTGCTTCAACCTCAAGTCAAGAAGGAGAATCACAGGCTGGTAATGAGATTTTAAACTGGTCGGATACTGTTTAAAAGTACAAGAATCAAGGAATACACTTGCCATCCCCTTAAATAACCTTGAGTCAGAACAGTTTATCTCAGGGTTGCTCCTGAAGCTACAGCTACTGATACTTAAAAGGGCATATGTGATCATAAAGGGATTAATTAGGGTTTAGGAGACATCTGAGTTGGTAAGTATTAAATTGAAAGTGTTAGTGGAGAGAGATGGGGAGGATGATACGACACATGTCCGTTTCTTTCTTCTTGTATTTATTTTTGTTATCAAAGAGTGAAAGTGACGTTTCTTGGAAACTAGTCATGTGACCGCATAAAGGAAGCACTATACTATTCATTTCAACTGCAATTGCAGAGATAAGCTTGTCTCAAAACTCATAGATATGAATCATTTAGCCATGGTATTTCAACAAGGTCAAATAAAATGAAGTTCATATGTCTTTAGTATATCCAATTTTGTTCGGATGTATATGAACAGAATTTACAATAAGTGTTGAAACAGTGTTACCAGATGAGTTACTTGCTTGTCCTTACAGTGATTTTCAGACTCCATATGCTAGCACTGTTGATAAGTATCAATGTATCATAGATCGCAAAGGGGACTTAAACCAATGTGCACGTCTCGATGTTAACTTTATAAGTAACAACAAGATACGAGCATATTAGAGCATCCACATCAATGAACCCCCTCTTGGGGTTCATTGAATCAATTTTTTATTATTAAAATTTTTTATTTTCTTTTCCATTTATTTATTTTTTTTAAAAAATCTAAACCAATCTCGGATCGCCACTTGTTGAACCTTAGGAGAGAGAGGTTCACCCGAGAGAACTTTAGAAGAGAGGGGTTCATAGGATTTTGTTATTTTATTATTTTTCTTTTTTGGTTTCCGTGTGAACCCCCCATTTGAACTCTCAATGGGAGTGCTCTTAGTATAGTTAAGACGTCCATTTTCAGAATTGAAAGAGAAAATGAATACAATAATGAGTGATCATCATCATCATTAACTAAACTTAGATCAACCTAAATATCTCAATTTTGTGTAATAATAAATATAACTATTACTGAAAATTCTTTCTATAAACAAGTTTAAGCTTAATTATAGCCAAGCCATCCATTTGAGAGAGAAACAAAAGAAAAAGAAAAAAAAACTCACACCTACAGATAAAAGAATACAACCCAATAGGCCTATTATTGTAGCCCATATAGGCCCAATAAAAGCCATCCTAGAAATTTAGGGTTTCGGTGATTCACTTGAGAACTACCACCTTCTTCTTCAAGCAGCGGCTCGAAAGAAACCTAGCTCTCTTCTCCACACGACACTTACAGAGTTTTAAGGTATTATTCCTTTTCATCTTCCTCTGCTTTCTTGGTTCTCTTGTAGTTCAGTATCTTACGTGTTCTCGCCTAATCGTCTGTTGATCTTCCCAGCCATGGCCGCCGCCGTAGAAATCGACGCTGAGATTCAGCAGCAGCTTACCAACGAAGTCAAGCTCTTCAACCGTTGGAGCTTCGATGACGTTTCGGTAATCTCCTCTCTACTCTTGACTTTATTCGTATATCATGATTCGAAAGTTACACTAGCTTCATTGTCTGAATTAGAAATAACTCCTGGAGATGAATAACCTAAGTAATATTTTGTCTCTTGTCCGAAAAGTGTTCTTGTTTTAGTATATAGATCTTTTAAGGTACATCAATGGCAATGTTGTTCTTAGTATTGCAAATGATTAGGCTAAAGTGTATTATGTTGCGAGAGATATAGCTTATTGTCTGAATTAGATATAACTCCTGGAGATGAATAACTTAAGTAATGTTTTGTCTCTTGTCCGAAAGTGTTCTTTTTTATGTTTTTTTTTTTTATATTTATCTTTAAGTTACATCAATTGCTATGCTATTCTTAGTAATGCAAGTGATTAGGGTAAATTTCTGCTTTTTGATCTGTGTATTGGTGTATGTAGGTCACAGACATTAGTCTTGTTGATTACATTGGTGTCCAGCCTGCGAAACATGCAACCTTTGTTCCCCACACTGCTGGAAGATACTCTGTCAAGAGATTCAGGAAGGCTCAATGCCCTATTGTCGAGAGGCTCACGAACTCTCTCATGATGCACGGGAGGAACAACGGTAAGAAGTTGATGGCTGTGAGGATCATCAAGCACGCCATGGAGATTATCCACCTCTTGACTGATGCTAACCCTATTCAGGTTATCATTGACGCAATTGTTAACAGGTTAGTCACTGAAACGTGGTACACTTTCTTGCGTTTTTTTGCTACAATGCATAGAATTCTTATGATGTTTGTTTTATCCGGTGAGACAGTGGTCCACGTGAAGATGCTACCAGGATTGGATCTGCTGGTGTGGTTAGGAGGCAGGCCGTTGATATCTCTCCTCTAAGACGTGTGAACCAAGCTATCTTCTTGCTCACCACTGGTGCACGTGAAGCTGCCTTCAGAAACATCAAGACCATCGCTGAGTGCCTTGCTGATGAGCTCATCAATGCTGCCAAGGGATCATCCAACAGGTAATACTCCTACATTGTCTCTTAACGGTTTCACAGTTGTGTTTATTAGTAAGCTAATACTAATATCATCTTGTCTTGTCTGTCTTCGCAGCTATGCCATCAAGAAGAAAGATGAGATTGAGAGAGTTGCTAAGGCCAACCGTTAAGGGATCTTTCTTTTGCCCCGAGTTTAAATTGTACCTCAAAGACCTTGTTCTGCTGCCTTCCTTAGCTTTTGGATATGTTATGTTTCAGACGATGCTTGTCTATCTTTAATGAAGTTTTGACGCTTTAAACCACTTTTGATCAAATGGTTTCATATATTTAATAATATTTCATCTAATCTAATCTCTAATGAAAAAGTTAATTAATTACAATGGTGATTGTAACCATTTACCATTACTGGCTGCAAAAGGTTTACTATTCACACCAAATATACTTGACAAAAGAAAAATCTACAAAAATGATTGTTTATTAGTTTCTGTTCAACACTGAAAATGAAACACTCTTTTTATTTGCTTTTTCTTTTTGTTTCCTTACAATTTTGATGTCAAATAAAATAAATTCACAATGAAAACAAGAAAATGATTGATTAATAAAATGTGCTATGAAGATTGAAGAGGAAGAATCAACTGAGTAATCATCAAATTGCTTGATTAGAATGTTGTTGGGAAGTAAATGGATGAGCAGGCGAAGTTGGAGGTCTCAAGTTGAAATGGTGATTGTGTTTACCTTCATAGGTTGTAATGAAAGCTCTTGGATCATCACTAGCTCTCTCAACATGTTTCCTTGCTCTGCAGTTTGCACTCGTGCATCTGTAATAACTTCTTGGATGCGCATTGCCTCCAACCACTTTTTGTCCGTACTTCCTCCACCTGAATCCATCTTCAAGACTGTCTGATTCCACTGAGCTTTGTGATACTCCTCCTTGACTTGCTTGCTTCTCGTTCTTCCTGCTATTATCAACAAACTTAGTGTAACCCTTAATGCAGAAACTAGTGTCTGAAACAATATAATCTTACCTTCTCTTGCTTCTGCTAGGATCATCAAGCTCACCTTCATCACACTGGCTACTTCTACAACCAGAATCCGAACTCCCACCAGTTGAGATAGCCGATCTTGGAACAGCAAACTCAAATGGTGTTGTAACACAACCTTCATTCATCTTCTCAGTTATATTTTTAGATGAGTCATTGCTTTGGTTGCTCCAAAGAGGATGGTGATAGACATTAGTAGGGTCTTGTAACTCCTTTTGTGGTTTCTGAATCCCTGAAGAGGATGATGATGAAGCGCGCCGCGGAAGAGGACAAGACGGTTTTGAGTGATTATGCTCACCTTGATACACAATCTCTGAGACTTGACCACCCATTGATCTCTCCACTTTCTTCTTCACAGGACATTTAGGGTGTGTGCATTTGTAGTAACTCCTTGGACAGTCACTTCCTTTGACTTGCTTCTGTCCGTATTTCCGCCAGTTGTATCCGTCCACGGAAGATTTGTCTCCAGATGTCTCTGATTCCGTGAAGGATGGAACCCTAGGGACTAGGTAAGGACGTGTACCTTGGCTCACACTCTTCCCATAGGCTACTGCTTCGCTTTGTTTCCAAACCTGTTGATGATTATTCCCCTGAAGCTAAACAAAAGAAAAAGAGTCAAAATGAGTTTCAAGAAAATCTTGATCTTGTAGAGCATTGAGAAAACAACTCTTACCATATTAGCCAATGCAGAGACTGTTGCTTTTGAGACAAGCTTTGCTTTAGGTTTATAAACTACATAGCTTTTGCTGTCTGAATCATCACAAGACTTTCCTTTATCTTTTCCTTCAACCTAAGATTATCATGAGAGTATCAAAAAATGCAATGCGGAAAGATTCAGAAAGGAGATAACAATGGCAAGAAAGAGACAAGTGGTTAGATGAATCACCTTTGGACATGAGACCGCAGCTACCACTGGCTGTTTAAACCTCAGAGTCTTTGGTCTAATAACAGCGTCTAAAGTCTCATGGGGAGATACAGTAACTGAATCAGTACTAAAAAGGTCAGTGAATGTCCTGATGCTAGAGCATGAAGGCCTTGAAGCTACTGGTTTTGCTATTACTACCACTCTTTCACTCTCTTTCACCTCCATTATTCAAACCTAGTGAAACAAAACTTCAATCAACCTGAAAACAAAAGATTGGGTTTTGGAGGGTGAGAAACATCAAGCCCTAACATACAAGATCTTGATCTATATAGAGATTGCATATCATAAAGAAAGAAACTTGATGAGACCCATGAGCCATAAGAGTCAAAAGAAGAGGTACTCACGGTGAGAGAGTTCATGTAAGATCTGAAGTTCTGAAAACGATTTGTTGAAAGAAACACTTTGTAAGGAGGTTAGGAAGATCCAGGCTTTTTTGGTTGTGGCTCGTTGATGTATCGGTTGTACCACAGTTCGGTTCGTTGAGGAGTCGCCGACACCAAGGGACACGTGTGAGACGGTAGGGTACGTTGGATGGATCAAGGTCCGTGAGCGAAATCTATAGTGATGGAGAAGGTGGTGAAAAGGAAAGATAAGGATAGAGATAGTTTCGTTGAACGTTAGTTGAGTTTATAATACCTTTGAATGTTAGTTGGGAAACGCGGCCAACGGAACGGCGCCGTTTCAAGTTTTGTTGAAGCACCAGTGACTTAAAGGGACTGGTTTGGTTGTTGAGACACACGCACGAGCTTGTTTTGTTCGAAGTTAAAACACGTGAACTGAACCATAGCACCTTGAAATTTTTTGAGTTCAACCGTACCGAACTTAAACCGGTATATTTCTTCTTGTCCTAATTTTATAATTTACATCCTGTTCTTGTCCCTTTCTCATATTATATACTTAACGTGGATTATACGGAAACTAAAATATTGATAAATGGATAAAGTAAGATATTATAAAATATCACAGTAGACTATAAATGATTATTTTTCAACAGAAGCATTTAACAATTGGTAGTTTGTAGTTTTCAACAACTACTGTTGACATTTTTAGCAGTCTAACAACACAGTTTGTTAGGTTAGATAAGAGTTATTAAAAAGTTGGTTAAGCCTTATCAATGTTACATAAAGACACGCTTGTTCAGAGTTATAGTTTCATTGGGAATTCTGTTTTTATATTATTTCCATTATAGTTTTGCATCTTATAGTACACAATTACAATAAGAACTCGAACTGTAAGTTATGAATTGTTAAAAAAAGTTGGTTAAGCTAAATCAATGTACATAATAAATACTCTAACCTACTTATAGTTCCATGAATAATTCGGTTTTTCGATTCATCTATAGCTTTGCATCTTATCCACTAACTATAAGAGCTCAACTAGATTTTGACCCGCGCTTAAAAGCGCAGAAATTTTTTATGATTAAAAATTTATATAATTGGGTTTTGTCATAATTTAAATAATATTTTGATATAAAATCAGTTCACCAAAATTTGTGGTGATGATTGTTTTTCATTAATTTTTAGTTTCAATTTTTATTTTTAGATTTTGGTTTTTGGTTTTTAGTTTTTAAGTTTCTACTTTTCATTTTCAGTTTTTGGTTTGAGTTTTTAATTTTTAAACCAGCTGAGTTAGTTTGAACAACTATTACCAACAAACAAATCTCAAATAATCGAACATCTAATTTAAAACTGAAAAGATGAAAACAAATTTTTTAAAAAAAATTGAAATAGTTTATTTTGTAAATAAACAAAGCAAAAAAATATAATATGTGTTTTCAGCTTTTGGTTTTGGATTTTAGTTTTTAGATTTGGTTTTTGGTTTTGCTTTACATTTTTTAATCAGTAAATTATTTAAGAAAAATAAAACAATAAATTATTTAAAAGTTACCATTGAAATTTATCAAAACAAAGTGATTGTTATTTAAAATAAAAAAAAATATTAACATATTTTAAAGTACATGATTTAAATAAATGAGTAATAATGGATAATTTTGTTTAGTTAAAAATATTAAATACCTTTTGGGTCTGAAAATAATAATTGATTTTTTTTTATCTTTTAAGGTGAAAAGTTTATTGAATGTTTTGGAGTTTTTTCTTAATACTAAGCGCAAAAACCAAACTATATAATTTGTTCAAAAAATAAAAGTAAGCCCAAAACTATATTCCATAAATAACCACTGGTTTAATTTAAGTATAATTAGTAGATTTCCATATTCCATATTTTGATGATATATATTCTTTTAGAACATTCCATATTTGTAGGAGAAAATATGTGTTTTCGGTATACACATAGATACCTGCCATATTTTGAAGGTAGTTTACATTAAGGTCGTCTCTTTACATTAGTTGTGTTGGTTTAATTTAAGTAATACGGTTTAATCAATTATATGACTTATATTATTTGTAACATTCTAGAAAGAGTCCAAATTTAAATGATAACTTGTATCAGTAGATAAAAAGAATGACTCTATTTTAATAGAGTAGATATTTTAAACAGTAAAATAAGAGTTGATATCTAATTGCTCATTACAATTAGTTTGGTAATAAAAACCAACTATTACAGTATTACATTTTTGATTTGCCACCGGTTTCTTCTAACTAAAAAATATATAGACCAAGAGATTAGAATCCTCTTACTCTGATAGGCTTCAGAGTTCAGTGTTTCACAAACATACCAAGACAACAATATCTAAGTCACGACTTGTGAACGGTGATTAAGTTCAAAATTTATGCAAAGTTATATTCATTGTATGTGGATTACAACAACAGGCACTGTAGGAGTCCAAGCCCCCGTCGTCGATTTCAAACAGTAATTTCTCGTTAAAACCAAAGGCTTAACGAACTGACCATGTGGCCCGATTGTTAGACCGGTTAGTGTTAGGTTCGAGTTTGTAAAACGTTTGATAATTTTGTACAAAATGTGAGTGGCGTTTCGAACCAATGTCAAGTTTTTCAGATTTTCAGGTTTTCGGACCCAATCTTTTTATTTATTTTTCTTAAAAAGTCTTGCAATTGATAAATAAAGATAAGAACATACAGCCTGATAAAAACAAAGTTTTAGGCCTAATACAGAGAGAGGATAGTAAAGGATGGGTCAATTTCTTTGTCAAACAACAAATTTAGAGAAAGTCAACGCCTAATCAAAGACTAGAATAGATACAGTCGGTAAAAAAACAGAAGACAGTCATCATACGGATCAAGGGATGGACTGAAACAAGAGATGGAGGAGGACCGATTCAATTGTCTACAGATTTTTCTCAGAGTAGCATCCAATTGGATGAAGATATTGTCTACCTGGAGGAGGACCGATTCAATTGTCTACAGATTTTTCTCAGAGTAGCATCCAATTGGATGAAGATATTGTCTACCGTCAGGGCTGGCTCAACGGCTTTTAGGGACCTTGGGAAAAAAAAATAATACAGCCTGTAAGTAATCTTTTTATAAAAAAATAGTCTAATGTAATTATTTAAACTATTTTATTATTTTGTATGAAAATTTTCAAAATGAATTTAGTTTTAAATTACATATAACTTAATGGGTGAATTTGCTCAATATACCAAAAAAAGAAGTTATTTAGGAATTTGACTTAGTTTAGGGGGAAAAAAGTAATAATGGGAGAGGAGAGAAGGGGGAAATAGGGTATGAAGCTAATTATGAGGTTTTGTGTGTATATGGAGTGCAAATACTCTAACTTAATTTAGTTAATTTATATTTATATCATTTTTCTTTAAAAAATCACACAAATTGTATAAAAAAGGCAAAAAAACAATTGGACCCTTGGGCCCTGGGCGTTCGCATTCCCCGCCTTACTATCTAAGCCGGCCCTGTCCACCCTTTTGAAGAGCTGACGGTGGAGGCCTGCCCAAATCAAGTAAAGTGATGATGGCCATGCCAAGAGGATCTGTCGAGAACGAGGGTTGGTAAGTGATAGCCGGTTCATGAAGTCAAGTGTGGGATTCCAAGTATGTCGTACCATTATCGGGAAAAAACTGGATACACAGCTCCATAACTGAGAAGAAAACGTGCACGAGAAGAATAGATGGTCTCGGGATTCATGAACTTGGCGGCAGAGCAGACAAAGGGGATCAGTTTGGAGTCGATCTTTAGTAGAGCATCGATCTTGGATGAAAAGCCAAGTAAGAAATCTATGACGGGGAATCCCTCCTTTGAACCAAACGGTACTGAACCAGTCAACAAAAGGCACATGAGGTCGAATGCTGTCGTAGACTTGAGATGTAGAGAAGTTATGGAAAGGTGAACCATTGGTCTCCCATTCGTATACATCCTCTGTCTCAGTTAGGTGAATAGTAGCTAAATGGGCTAACATGTTATATGATCTTTCAGGTGGTAACATTCATGTGCCATTGCGGTTAATGTCTGCTAAAGTTGCCTGATTGAGGATGCCAAAGCAATAATCATTGTCGACACCAGGGAAGTGTGTTAGAGCACCAAAAGGTGTCTAGTTGTCATGCCAAAATCTACAGGTTTGTTCATTCTCTGGTTTTAGTTTAATCCACTCATAAACTAGATCTTTAGCTTCCAACACTTCATTGGCGAGTCAAGAGTGTGGACGTCTCTTCCTAATTGTCTAGAAATTTGAGATTGATCCACAACATTTTTTGATCAATAATCATAAAATCACATAACCATACCAGTAGGAAAATTTATTTAATAAATAGTTATATTAAAAATATATTGTATCTATATAATATTATTTAAATTTAATTATTTATCATATAAAATAGGTAAAAGTGATTGTTTGGATTGATTTACCATAGAATGATTGTAAACAAACAACAATGGTTATTTTGATTTCTATATCCAGACCAATTTAATTATAGACATAATGGTTATCCAATTGTCAATTATTCAATATATATTTATTATGATGACAAAAAAATTCTTTTTATTATTTTAATATTTCGTGAAAGATGTAAATAAATAATAATATGTAAATATATATATATATATATATATATCTAAAATATTAATTCCATACGAGAGCTACCTCTTAACCTAGTTGTTATTATTTTATATTTTTTTGGTAAAAACCTAGTTGTTATTATTATTTTCACAAAGAGAATATATTGCAAACTTGGACAGATTACAGAACTGGCGGTTTAGGGGAACTCTGGAGATTAAAAGCCTGTGGGCGACAATAGTGTTCCTGAAGACATTAGCTCAAACAAAAAAAGCCGGATGAAATACTAAATTAACAAAGACTCAATGTTAGATGACTAAGCTTAATAGATGAAACAAAACAATAAACTTAATATTTTAAATGTTAACTTTGTTAATGATAGCGTGAACAGATTGAATATGTCAACTCACTAAAACAAATAAATTAGGCTTAGTTCACCTTTTTTTTTTTGTTCGCCAAGCTTAGTTCAGTTCACAATATATAAACAATGACAAGTTAACAACAATCAATGCTATGAAGAAGTTTATAAAAACTACCAAACCAAATTTTCTTTTTGAAGACTTCCCTTCGGCATGCTCTCCCTCGGAACTCAGTCGAAAATGACAATGGCAAATATATCACCGGATCAGTCAATCTACAGCAAATACCTCAACGAAACGAACAAGAAAGAAAGTAAAATTTCCTTTCTCTTTAGCTGATGTCGTCAATGTAATCTCAAAACACGCAAGTATATTTCCCTTGGTTTTCCTTCTTCTAGGTTAGGTTTGCTTCGATTTTTCTTTTCCTTTTTGTTAAAGGGCTTGGTTCGCTTCTTGCTTCCCTCGTTTTTTTTCAGAACCGAATAAATGATTTTCTCTGTTTTCACCGTTGAAATCCTATTTTCTGGATATTTGTTTTGTTGGGATTCATCAAAATCTTTGCCAGGATTTGGTGATGAAAATCAAACAAGAGAAAGTTTGTGTGTTTGATTCTTGTTTTAAATCAAACTATATTTGTTATTGAGGAACAACCGGTTTTAGGCATGGCCTTATCTATCTCATGCTTTCCGTGTCTTGTTTCATCTAAAGTGGTTTATTTTCATAACAATTCTTCCAAATCAGTAAAATAGATAAGATGTAAATAATATTAATAGAAAAACTTATGAGATATTTTTGAGTGTTTAGTTTCGAGATACCTATGTATCATTTTGGGGGTGATTGGCTAAGATATACCAAGTGATTTTATCTTTGAAATCTATCTACAGCTATGAACGTTGTCAATCATAATTTATCTAGTTTTTGAAGATAAAGTCAAAAATAAATAAAAAATGGTTATAATAATCATGTTTTTACTGCATTATTTTATAAGTGGTAGAAAAAAATATTGCTACAGAAATATATTTTTCATTTTTATTATTTTTCTCATTTAGTTCTTACTATATTCACTGCAAAGAAATAAAATAATTTTACGCATAAAGTTTTACATTAGTCTTTTACAGTTACAACCTAACTAATCACTAATATTTAAAAAATTGGTAGATAACAAATAGATGAGTGTGCTTTAGTTTTAGACCGATGCTCAATCTTTTTGTGGAAAACTGGTTTTATGATATATAAATATATCAACATTTAATTTTCTTTGAAACATCCTTCTTTAAAATAATATGTAGGGGGTGGGGTAGGGTAAGGGGTTAACACAAACCGAATATCCGAGTTTTTAGAGGTATTCGTGATTCACTATGTTTTGTCTACATAATAAATTATTTGATTCGATTCGATTTGTTGGTATCTAATATTCAGTTATCTGAATATTCAAAATAGTTTATATCTAAGTGGATATCCGATTCGATCCGTATAAATCAAATTACATTTGAAAACAATTAAAAAATTCAAAATAATATAAAAGAATAATATGATTAAAAAATAAAAAGTGTTTTACTTTTTCAAACTATAATAACTAAAATAATTAATTTAATAAATAAAAATCTTGTAAAAAATACTTAAAGTCTAATAATTTTGTAATATAATTACTTAAATATATGTATGAATATGCACACAATGGATCAGATCAGGTATCCTTGCTAAAAAAATTAGTATTTGTGATTTTCTCGGTTTCTTGCGAACATTGAATATTAGTATTTGCTATGTTTCATAGAATTATAGATATCAAAAAAAAATCATTCAAACTGAAACGGATAATGAATCGAATCAAATTAGAATACCCAACCCCAAATGAGATGGTGGTTGTGTGATTCTAAATGGAATCTCCTATATACTATTTGAGAAATATTACAACATTTGAACAATCACATGTGTTATCACCATAGTGATTCTTAAAGAGTGTTAGTGGGAGTTAGATTTATAATGATTGTTCGAATCTAAAGTGTCTAGTGTTATGGTTTATATATTTTCATATTCTCACTAAAAACAAGTGTTATTGAGATATAGTCATTTTATAATTATAGACAAGTTCTTTTATTATTTAAAAAGTTTAGATTTTAAGATTCTATAAATCTACTAAAATTAATGTTATTGAAAGTATTCTTAATCATCTAATTCATAGAACAAGATCTTCAGAATAATACATTATATATCTCTTATACTCTTAAATCATTATAATATTTTTTTCTAGATTTTCATAATATACAAATTTCTCTTCAACTTTTTCCAAATTCAACAAATCTTTCAATATTTAAAGCCAATTAACTCTATATAAATCCTACTTCCACTAACACCCCTTTAGATTACTTAGAAAATTAGTTTGGTCTGTCTAAACATTATTATAATTCTCATTAAACTAACCATAAAATTAAGTAATGCAAAAAGAATATTCTTCATTTTTTTCTTAAATAGAAACTACAGAATTACATACTGTGGTCACGATATATATGACAAATGAATAATAGAATTTTGATAATAATTTGTGTATCATCTATCATTCTTGTTTCCTTTATAGTATTAGAATAAATTAAATAATCACGTTACTAATATAATATAAATTCAGATTATTCAGTAGATGTTATATTTTGAAAATTTTAAAGCGATAATAAATTATAAAAACTATTAAAATTCTCATATGAATATAAAATTTTATTTAATGTATATGTTAATATCATTTGAATTTAATTTATAAAATAGAGAAAAATAATTATTTTGATTTATTTATCATAAAAGATTATAAATAAACAATGTTCAAGATACCGATCTTAATCTAGTTATTAACTAACATAAATACATAATTAGCGGACAAAAGTTGACAAAAAAGACAATTAATAAACAAAATTATCCGTCTTCATTATAATAAAACACTCAAACATTGCGGTGACGCACCGTGGGGTTGTTTGAACGTATAGATCGTTTGAGTTTGATTACAGTAGAGAAATGTTTGAAAAGTCAGCTGTCAAAATCAAACAAGACTAATGACTTTTAGGATTTTCTTAAAATCCCATGTTATTGAACTGATGATTTTAAATACCTTTTTAAAATCAAATGTTATTGAATGTGAAGTTTATGTGAAATCATCTAAAATCATTTGTAATCTTCTGTTACCCAATTAATAAGTTATAAAACCTAATCAAATTCAGTGTTATTCAAAGTTGAACGATATTTTAAACGGATTTTAGGATCATTTGTATAACTTTTTAGTTAAAAATTATCTTTATAGAATACCACTTCTATAGGTGTTATTTGCAAAAACCTAATAAGAAATATCTGAGAAACAAACGAGCATAAACATTTTCATTGGCTTTCTGAATGAAAGTATCACTTCAAATTAATGGTCTATTTGATCAGATTTCATTGATTTCTTGAGGTTCCAATGATTAATTGACATGGAGAATACTTGATTGTCCATCAATGAGGGTGTGGGAGGAATCAGAAATTAAAATTACAGTGATTCTAAGATTTATTATCGTCATCCTTATGTCGATGAGATCTACAATGAAGTAAGAGCTGAAAAATCTTAGGTCAATTCTGAGGGATATGATTATCCCATGAATTTTAGTTATCAGAGAAAGAATATCACAATTCAAAATTGTTACGGATATGCTGAAAATCTGGGCATAAATGGATAAAGAGAAGCATAACCATGTCTCATGTGCCTATAAAAACTTAAGAACTAAATTATCGGAGATATTTTTGGAAGTTCTGAGCGTACAAAAACGATGGCTTAATATTGGAGTTACAAAACCAATAAGATTGAAGGCAATTAATTATCTTGTTTATATACATTTTTAGTCCTTAGAAAATTGAGTTAAGACAGATATCAAATCATCTAAAACTCTTACATTTAGAAAAGCATTAGTATTTACGTTTACTTCGGTTGAGTTTCACTAAAATCACCTAAACTTCCTCCAAACCCACCTAAATATAAAACTTCTCAAAGTTTTCTAAAATACTCAGTCCAATAAACCCCCAAGTGAACTCACTAAAACAACCAGTTTTAGGTAGGGCCGTATCTATCTCATGCTTTTCGTGTCTTGTTTCAGCTAACTTAGTTTTTGTTTTCCAGAATCGAAGGGACCACTTGGGTGGATACTTGATGTTGTTGCTTTGAACACTCATCCGCTCCAGGGACAGGCTTGGAGTGCGTTTAGTGAAGTCACAACAGTTAGTGATGCGGTCCCTCAAATGCAAAATTTCCAGCAAATGGTCAGTATATGTTGTTAAGATAGACCGACTTCTAATCTATAAATATTGATGATGAGTGGAATGAATCATCTATCTTATATATTAAGAATGCTCTCTTCTAACTACCCATATGAGAGACTTTGTCTCTAATATACGCCACCCTTTTCAACTCTTTTTAATTTATGGGTATCAATATACTGCAGTCTAGGTTAATGCAATTGCTAATAATATACAGTTTTTGGTCCTTAAGGAATCAAATCTGCACAGCCGGATTGAAGGTGGTTGTGGTTTGCAGATCTTTGTCAAAACTCTCTCAGGGAGAACCTCATTCACACTGGAAGTTGAAAGGTCCGACACCGTTGACAGTGTCAAGGAAAAGATACATGACAAGGTAGGAATTTCTCCAGATCATCTCAGTTTAACATTTTCCGGGGAGCTGCTCATTGCTAGCCGCACCTTGGATTACTACGACATCCATGATAAATCAACTCTGACGTTGATTAGACATGATGCCAAGATCACTGTCAAAATTCAGCAACTGAAAAGGTTCGATTTCGAGTTTGAAATCTCGGACACCGTTGATAGTGTGAAGGCAAAGATACATGCCAAGACAGGCATTCCTCCTCACCAGCAAAAACTATCCTACAAAGATGAACTGCTTACGGGTGGCCGTACCTTGGCTGGTGAAAGCGCCGGCGTCCGCGGGGAACTAACTATGCACGAACATCTTAGACGTGCTGGTGATATGCATATTTCAGTCAAATTTCTGAAACAGAGAACCTTCACCTTCTATAACTCTGACAGCATTGACAATGTCAAGGCAAAGATACAGGACGAGGTAGGAATACCTGTAGACCAGCAAACTCTAATCTTTAAAGAATGTGAATTGCTCGAGGGTGGCCGCACCTTGGATGATTACCAAATCCGGATGGACTCAACCCTGGACCTTAGAGATGGTAGCATGCAGATCTATGTCAAAACACTGACAGGTAAAGTCTTTCCCCTCTCTGTTGAAAGCTCGAAATCCATTTATGATGTCATGGACAAGATACGTGACGTGGAAGGAACTCCTCCATCACAGCAAAGGTTAATCTTTAATGGTCAACAGCTAGAGCATGGCCGCACCTTAGCTTATTACAACGTTCAGAAGGAATCAACTCTGAACATGGTACTTCGGCTCATAGGTGGTGCTCGTGTAACCATCGCTATAGAGCCATTGTTGGGGAGAACCCTGATCCTCAGGATTGAAAACGCTACTAATCCAATTACGGATATTACACTCCCTTCACCGGCTCTCCCTTGTGAAGACCACACTTCGTCTACATGGTTGGAATATTTGTTGTCATTTCTGATCACCATTAAAGGCTATTATGAAAAGTGGGGTTTCCGACTCTCATGGGTTTTTTTCAGTCGGACTCGGAGGTAGCACATTCAGTTTCTGTTTTCTTGTTGTCCTCTCTCAATATAACGAGCCTTTAATGTGTGTGTGTGTGTGATTTTATAATCTTTCACTGTTAAATGGATGACAATAATGTTTGAAAAAAAAATGAATGACAATCATTTGGTTTATTTCTTATCTATATAAGATCGATTAATATGGTTTTTGTTAGAACATGATAACAGTTTACATCCCTCCTTTCACATAAATTACAGATGTTGAACGTAGACCCTTCTCGGTTCCCCATGCATTGATTCTATATCCTCCTTTAGAGGTGGGTGTGGATCGGATATCCAGATTTTTCAAGGTAATTGTGATTTATTTCGAATGTTACGGATATCTAATTTTGGTATTTGTTTTGCTTCGGAAAAATACGGATATCCGGAAAAACGGATATCCGGAAAATAAATAGATATTTGCGGATATTTACAAATATTTACGGATATCTAACCATTTTGATTAAAATTTTCATATAAATTTGCTTTGCAAAAATATTTTTTTGCATGATATATAAAATAAAAATTAAAAGAACTAGTGAATTTACATATTTTTTAATTTTTGAAGTTTAAGTTGCAATTATAACAACACAAAAGTTAAGAACAAAAAATATAATTGTCATAATTTTTTTTTTATGTAATACATTTATATAAGTAATAAAGTGAACATAATTGTTCAAAATCATGTGTTAGAATAAAAATTATATAATTTTATACATTTAAATTTAAATATAATCAATATATACATATATTTATATATTTTCGGATCGGATCGGATATCCACTTCCCAAAATTTTAATATTTGTGATTTGTTTCGATTTTAACGGATATTGATTTTTAGTATTTACTTTGATTTGAAAGTTTACGGATATCTGAAATTTTCGGATCGTATCGAAACGAATAACGAATCGAATCAAATTTAACGGATAAAATGCCCAGCCCTATCCTCCTTAGCTTCTCCCATATTCCTCAACTCTGGTTCAACCTAAATCTCACTATGAATCATATCTTAGCACTGCGGTGTTCTCTGGATTAACCTCAATTTATTTTGAAAGGTTCCCTGGTTATTTTTGAAGAAACAACTCACACCTGACTCATGATATACTCAATAATTATTGGTGGAATGTTCTCTATCAACAAGGCCATGCTCATTTTTGTATCCAACCGCTGCATCCGGATGCAAATATTCATATGTTTGTTTGGACATGGACACTATTGAATCAACATCTAGACATTATATCTGGATGCAAAATATATAATAGAGGTGATTGGTTGGGATTTAACTTAGGACTTGTTTTTGATCAAAATTTAAGATTTTTAGTTTTATTTATTTTTAAAGTATTAATCCTAATCAATCACGATGTAGTTTTATATTTAAACTAAATCATTTCTACATCACATACAATCATATTTTTTTGTTTGTTCATGTTTTACTTTTGTTTTTGTTAAATCAACTGTTAAATTGCTTTAGAAATTATAGTATTTACTTATAGCAAAATAACATACAGCTACAAGAACAAAAATTATAGACTATATTCTACAGCTACATTTCTATATCTACATTTCTAAATAACATTCAAGACCTAAATAACATTCAATGATATTTGAGATGCAAAAAATATAGAGTTTGCAACTCAAAATATCCAAGACCTAAATAACATTCAATAAAATATATAAATTAATTAGATCAGTTAATAGATTTATCATATCTCTATAATATTGTTTGAGAAGTTAGTTTCTTAGGTGTCGCGCTCACGTTAACTCTCACACTAGTTGATTACTATGATACCCCTAATGAATTAAAATTATATTTGAATATTATTATTTGTTTTTTTTTAAATCTTCCAAATAACAATATAAAATAAAAAAGAAATATTTATAAAATTTACAAAACTATTTAAAAACGAAAAAATAAGTATATATATAATATAGTTTCATAAAAATGGAAAGTTTACAAAATAGTAATATTTAACTTAAATATATTTTTAAATAACATGAATTATACTTTTTAAGTGATAAAATATTTATATCTATATCCTCTTAGATGAAAAAACTATTTGTATATAATGTGTTTTCATAAAAAAGTTCATACAAATAATCTTGATATTAGAAAAATAAATATTTTTCTTTAAAAAATAATTTACAAAAAAAAATGTAATTAGTATTATGGAAATATTTTTAGTATATTTATTTGATTATAATATCTTATAATTACAGAAAAAATATAAATTATAGTTTACTTATATAATATAGTTTCTCAAAACAACCACATTTTTACTGCATATTTTAAGAGATGTTAAAAACAAAACTAAAAATAAATTTAATCATAAACATCTTTTGATCAAATAACTAAAATTCTTTAAAAAAATAATAACACTATAATTTAACGAGGTAGATATATTATATTTTAATAGTTAAAATTATATGTTTTCTTAATAACTCTTTTGATGTTTAATTTTCTGTTTTTATGTTTATAGAATTTAATATAACCATAATCAAAATACTTAAGCAAATCAGAATTCCTTATTTTTAAAATTATTTGAAATAAATGTCAGTTTACCATCCAATCAATCTAAGGCATAAATTATTTAGACTTTATAAACTATTTTTATTATTGTAAATATTGATATGTGTTCATAAGCTTCCAAAATTTTATTATTACTTATGTATGTAATTTAGAATCAGACACTTTAGTTTTTTATTTTTTTTCGTTCTAAGCACAAAAAAATATTAAAATACGTAATATTAATAAGATATACTTATATTTCTAAGATAACAACCAACATAAATGTAAATAAAACAATTAATCAAAAATTATAATAAAAAATATTATAGTTGAATTCAGAGAAATAGATCGAATCCAATATATATATATATATATATATATCCAAATGATAAAACTGACTAAATATAATATATATAAAATTATATATAACTAAATGATATAATATTATTAATATAAATTCTACATACAAAATATAAATTAATATAAAATCTAAAGTAAATATCAATCAACTATTATAATATATTTCTTTTATTAATATTAATGTCTGTGCATGAGCACGGGAAAATCACCTATTATTTTATATAATATTCACATTTTTCATTGGAACCAGAAATTCACATTTTCTTCCGAAACCATAAAATATGGTTTCCGCAAAATCGCAAAGTTTTCTCCAAAAACTGCAAAAATCAAATTATCCTGCCGAAAAACGTTAAATCAAATTTGTCTTTTGTTTGTCTCTGTTCTTTTAGTCCATCGGAAAAAAAAATAGCAGTAGTTGTTCTCTTCTTGATGAATATAGTGAGTTACTATAAGTTATTACGCTTATTGATCCGTATGGCGGAGACTAAGAGCATCTCCAACCCCACTCCATAATCTCTATAATATTATTTGAGAAGTCAGTTTCCTATGTGTCGGGTTCATGTTAACTTTCACGATGGTTGATTACATAGATACCCTTAATGAACTAAAAATATTAGGGTGAATTGGCTGAAAATATAAGAAGAAAGTAGTAATTAAGAAAATGCCTAAAATTGTGGGGAAATATTGAAGATGGAGGGAAAAAAATTGGGGGGAAATTGGGTATGAAGTGCAAATATAGTAAATGTTGTAGGTATGGAGTACAAATATTCAAAATATTAAATAAGATTAATATTAATAATGTATTTCCTTTTTTCACAATAAGATTTACTTAATTTTTTAGTTAAGTGTACTTTTTAATACATAAATAAAAAGGAAATATTTATAAAATATAAATATTTATATATAAACGAAATTTAACAATTTTTTTGAAATTTTCCTAAAATTTCATATTTAGTTTTTATTTAAGACATATTAGAGAGGAAACTAAAAATATTTTTACAAAAATAAATATTTTGATCAAATAATTTCAAAATCCTTTTAAATAAAGGATCACTATACACTATTAATAGAATGGAAATATTATATTTTATCATTATTAAAAATTCTTTTTACTATTTAGTTTCTTTTTAATTTTATGTTTTTTTTATGTTTGTGGAACTTAATATATAAATAATCAAAATACTCAAGTAAATCTACGTTCTCATTTTCATAATTGTTTAAAGTACGTTATAGTTTACCTTTTAAGAAATCTAAAACATAAAATAATTTAAAATTTAGAAATATTTAATTATTGTAAATATTAGTATGTGCTCATGAAATTTCAAAAGTTTATCTTTATACTCATACTTATGTATGTAAATTCCTATTGATCGTTACTTTACTTTTTAATATTTCGTAAAAATCAACATATATCCAATACTAAAAATACTTGCACTAAGAAATCAATAAAACTAATTTGATTTGATTTAATTAGAATAAAAAATAATTATACTTTCATTTGAATTAGAAAAATATATATAACTCAATATACTCACAAAACAAGTAACAGAGCGAATCTAACTTATATCCAAAATTAAAGATTTAACTATAATTTTAAAATAATTATTTTTTTTTATTTTTATACATATAGATTACAGGATAACTCAAAAATATCAATATATAAAAATAAATTATTAACCAACTGTTATAATTCAGTTTTTTGTAAAATTTATATATATGAATGAGACTTCAGAATATTATCGTTATATTCATTTATGTAATTTTGAGTCAAAATTTCAGTTTATTTTAATTTCATTATAAGCATAATATATATTAAGTCATACATAATCTTACTAAAATATATTTACATATATAAGACGATAACCAATCTAAATGCAATAATAATCAAAGTTTTAGTATATTTAAAAGAAAATATTATAGTTGAATTCAAAAAAAATAGATGCAATCTAAAATACACAACTGTAACCAAATCGACTATTGACCAAAAAAACAATCAAACCGATTAAATATAACATCTCCCAAATCATATCTCCAATTTAAAATAATATAATATTATTAATATAAGTTATACATATAAATTATAAATTAATTTATAATTAAAAGTAAATATCTATCTAAATTAATAAATTAGAATATATTTACTTGATAAATATTCATACCCGTGCATGAGCACGGAAAAATCAGCTAGTTTTACTGTAAAATGGAGTTGGAAATGGAGTAGTGAACAAACAAAAAAGTCATTACTCCATTTATAGAG